AGACAGATAGATAGACAGATAGGTAGATAGATAGACAGACAGATATACAGACAGATAGATATATATACAGACAGATATACAGACAGACAGATAGACAGACAGATAGATAGATAGATAGATAGATAGACAGACAGATAGATAGGTAGATAGATAGATAGATAGATAGATAGGTAGATAGATAGATAGATAGATAGATAGGTAGATAGATAGATAGATAGATAGATAGGTAGATAGATAGATAGATAGATAGATAGGTAGATAGATAGATAGATAGATAGATAGGTAGATAGATAGATAGATAGATAGATAGGTAGATAGATAGATAGATAGATAGATAGGTAGATAGATAGATAGATAGATAGATAGGTAGATAGATAGATAGATAGATAGATAGGTAGATAGATAGATAGATAGATAGATAGGTAGATAGATAGATAGATAGATAGATAGGTAGATAGATAGATAGATAGATAGATAGGTAGATAGATAGATAGATAGATAGATAGGTAGATAGATAGATAGATAGATAGATAGGTAGATAGATAGATAGATAGATAGATAGGTAGATAGATAGATAGATAGATAGATAGGTAGATAGATAGATAGATAGATAGATAGGTAGATAGATAGATAGATAGATAGATAGGTAGATAGATAGATAGATAGATAGATAGGTAGATAGATAGATAGATAGATAGATAGGTAGATAGATAGATAGATAGATAGATAGGTAGATAGATAGATAGATAGATAGATAGGTAGATAGATAGATAGATAGATAGATAGGTAGATAGATAGATAGATAGATAGATAGGTAGATAGATAGATAGATAGATAGATAGGTAGATAGATAGATAGATAGATAGATAGGTAGATAGATAGATAGATAGATAGATAGGTAGATAGATAGATAGATAGATAGATAGGTAGATAGATAGATAGATAGATAGATAGGTAGATAGATAGATAGATAGATAGATAGGTAGATAGATAGATAGATAGATAGATAGGTAGATAGATAGATAGATAGATAGATAGGTAGATAGATAGATAGATAGATAGATAGGTAGATAGATAGATAGATAGATAGATAGGTAGATAGATAGATAGATAGATAGATAGGTAGATAGATAGATAGATAGATAGATAGGTAGATAGATAGATAGATAGATAGATAGGTAGATAGATAGATAGATAGATAGATAGGTAGATAGATAGATAGATAGATAGATAGGTAGATAGATAGATAGATAGATAGATAGGTAGATAGATAGATAGATAGATAGATAGGTAGATAGATAGATAGATAGATAGATAGGTAGATAGATAGATAGATAGATAGATAGGTAGATAGATAGATAGATAGATAGATAGGTAGATAGATAGATAGATAGATAGATAGGTAGATAGATAGATAGATAGATAGATAGGTAGATAGATAGATAGATAGATAGATAGGTAGATAGATAGATAGATAGATAGATAGGTAGATAGATAGATAGATAGATAGATAGGTAGATAGATAGATAGATAGATAGATAGGTAGATAGATAGATAGATAGATAGATAGGTAGATAGATAGATAGATAGATAGATAGGTAGATAGATAGATAGATAGATAGATAGGTAGATAGATAGATAGATAGATAGATAGGTAGATAGATAGATAGATAGATAGATAGGTAGATAGATAGATAGATAGATAGATAGGTAGATAGATAGATAGATAGATAGATAGGTAGATAGATAGATAGATAGATAGATAGGTAGATAGATAGATAGATAGATAGATAGGTAGATAGATAGATAGATAGATAGATAGGTAGATAGATAGATAGATAGATAGATAGGTAGATAGATAGATAGATAGATAGATAGGTAGATAGATAGATAGATAGATAGATAGGTAGATAGATAGATAGATAGATAGATAGGTAGATAGATAGATAGATAGATAGATAGGTAGATAGATAGATAGATAGATAGATAGGTAGATAGATAGATAGATAGATAGATAGGTAGATAGATAGATAGATAGATAGATAGGTAGATAGATAGATAGATAGATAGATAGGTAGATAGATAGATAGATAGATAGATAGGTAGATAGATAGATAGATAGATAGATAGGTAGATAGATAGATAGATAGATAGATAGGTAGATAGATAGATAGATAGATAGATAGGTAGATAGATAGATAGATAGATAGATAGGTAGATAGATAGATAGATAGATAGATAGGTAGATAGATAGATAGATAGATAGATAGGTAGATAGATAGATAGATAGATAGATAGGTAGATAGATAGATAGATAGATAGATAGGTAGATAGATAGATAGATAGATAGCTAGATGGATGCGCATGCTCTGAGGCTCGTTCATGAGGAGTTGCGCATTCCTGTCTCCGAGAGCGGTTCCGGTTGGGAGGGGCTGGAGGGGGGTGCAGGGAAGTTCTTGTTGTCATGGCAATAGTTTCCTCAGCGCATTCGAGCAGACAGCAGCGACAGATCTTCAGAGGAATATAATAAACACGCGCAGGCAATGAAGTCATTGTTACGCTATCGGTTGCCACGGCGACATCCATGAGAGGGCGCTGCGCAAAGGGGCGGAGCTCGCGTCCTGACGCACGGCGGGGGCGTGTCCGGAGCGCGCGCTGCGCGTCCCCGCTTGTTGTTCCCGCAGAGAGGGCAGAAGATGGCGGCCGTGTCGAGCGGTGCTGCCGCCGCCGGGATACCGAACCCGAACGCGAACCGAGCCGCCGCGGCGGTTGTCGGCCGCCCGCCCCCCGTGCGCGTCGGCTACTACGAAATGGAGCGGACCATCGGGAAGGGCAATTTCGCCGTGGTCAAACTCGCCACGCACATGATCACCAGAGCGAAGGTGAGCGACACTATCGCCGCTTCAGACCCGCGGAGACACCGATGCGGCCTGCGTCTGTGTAATACTGTGTAGATTGTGTGTAGATGCGCGCGTGTGTGTGAGTGCATAAGTGTGTGTGTGAGTGTATAAGTGTGTGTGTGAGTGTATAAGTGTGTGTGTGAGTGTGGGTTGGTTGGTTGGTTAACAGTAATCCAGGTTGTCTTATTGCAGCAGTGATGCTGTTGTGGGAGGAGAGAGATAGACAGAGACGGTTAGATAGAAAGGGTTAGACAAGCAGAGAGAGAGAGAGATGTATAGGTAGAGAGAGGCAGAGAATGCTTTGTATTAATTTTAATCTGTTTGTGTATTATAATCATCAATCTGTTCATTGCTCATGTACGGGCCAGTGAAGCTGATTTGAGTTGAACTGAATTGATAGATAGATAAATGGACAGACAGAGAGACAGAAAAAACACACTCACACACTCACACACACTCTGACACTCTCACTTACACATACCCTTGTCATTATACAAATTTATGTCCTCATTTGTCACAAAAACGCACACACACACACACACTCACACGCACACGCACACACACACTCTTATACACACACACACACACACACACACACACACACTCACTCACACACATGGGTGTTATGGGTCCAGACGGGCCGTTTGTGTCTGGTCTGTGATGATTCTCAGTGCTTGTGATGTGTGTTCATAATAATCAGAAGTGCATTCAGACAACACGTGTGTGTGTGTAGTGTTGATCTTTGTTCATCTGTGTGTGTATGTGTGTGAGAGAGAGTGTGTGTGTGTGGTGTGAGTGTGTGT